TATATATATATATATATATATATATATATATATATATATGTATGTATAATTGAGTGGAATTGCAAACACGAAAGGAATCCAAATTCAATGGCATATTAAACAACATCAAAACATCAGTATAATGAAGTGACCAGCTGAATAAAAACATGCATAAGGATACCTTGTAATTTACAGCAATTCCATTTGAAAGACGACGCTGAGTGATGCCTGTATCTTGGTCATGCAATTTCATATAGCCTGCATCTGGAAGTAAGGGAACAAAGGATGGCCTACGTTCTAACCTTAACTCCTCTAACTGTGTTGAAGATATCAATTCTTTTGGTACTTCAAGCTGCACATAGAATCAAATAAATGAACTTGTCAATGAAATTTATTTCAATAACTGGCTGTTTATATAAAAACCAAAAAAAAAAGTAAAAAGAACAAAGCATGCTAAGTTCCATGTGGACACCTCTGGCTCAGCCTCAATTGCTTCCTCCAATCCTAATTTTATGGCAGCTGTAATCTCACTTGAGGATATCTTGAACTCGGTTTCACCCAATCCATCAATATGCACTTTTGCAGGAACACATGCAACGATTGCTGCAGGAAGGGGCGCAGTAGGTTTTCCAAAATCAGAGATAAATTCTAATAACTTGGCACCAATAGAATTGACCTATGAGAGAGAGAGAGAGAGAGAGAGAGTTAAAATAACTAGAAAAAGTCATGAAAAAATAATGATTTCACAAACAAAAGAGTGAATATACAAAGGAACCTCAAAATCCTCATTCTCAACTTCAAAAACTTCAGAAAGCACACCAAGCTATGCAAAAAGGCATTACATTCACAAAGCACCTACTACTGAAGGCAAATATATCACAATAATAACCACGAATATTTCCAATAAAACCTCATCAACAAACAAATTAAAGTTAAGAGACGAGAAATCAAGGCATTAGATAAATGTTAATGGAAAAATTTGTGAAGCATCAAAACCATTAGAAATTAAGTATCTTCAAGAATAAAGTATTTTGGCACAATACTAACTATGGCTCTGTATTAGTCTCTATACTAAAAATAGCATGGCAGTTCTAAAGCAAGTTCAGGCTATATACTGAAACGTAAGGGGAAAAAAAAGGTGCGCAGTAAGAGTCAAAATCAAAGTATAAGCACACATGACAATGATGAAGTTATGACTTCCCGGATTGCTAGCACACACATTACATAATTTCATTTTACAGGGATAAGAGCATGCACAGCAGGCAATAATAGTTAGGGTCACTATGGGTGAAATTTACCTCTTCAAGTGTGACCATTCCAGCAACAGCAAACAAACTCTCATGTCCTTGTCTCTGATCCATCACAGTATGGCCAAGAGCATTACTCTCCATGATAAATTCCAAATTATCAACAGATGAAACATTATCAATCATAGCTGCCAGATGTTCGCTATCTTTTAAAAGTGCATCCATATAGCGAGTTAATTCACCCTTTGTGACACCAAATTCTTTAAGCCTTCGAACCTGCATCAAACAAAATCTATAAAATATTTTAACCAGGAAAAGATGAGAAAAGGAAGAAGATCTAAATTTGATTGAGCAAAGTTGGTAGCAGCATCAAATAAGATTCAATGCTTTCTGTCTCCAGAATTTTTGCCAAAAAACACAAATAGATGCATGGCCCACTGAAGACTACTATTAATAGTTGCAACTGCCAATGTAATCTTATTAAACAAAAAACCATGCCCTTTTCTACAGTTAGCAAATAAGGGAAATAACAATATGAAGAAAAGAAAAGAGCTTGTTATCTGATAATAATTCCAACATGAATGTAAACAGCAACGAAAAAATTGATGCAATGGAATTGCATTAACAGTAGCAATGAGAGTGAAGACAGAAGAACAGAAAAGTACGAACCTCCTGAACAGCAACTTTAATTGCATTTTGCCAATTCTTGGGTTCTGCAGTCACTGTAAGAGTTGTGACAGTGCATCCTTCCCTTCCAGAATCACTATGATCCAATTCAACTGAAGTGAATGGTGGATTTGAACTCTGAAAATTTTAAAAAATTAACAAAAATTTTGGGAGGGCTAATGAAACTAAGAGATATGGACCCACACATACAGAAATCAATACAATATAGACAAATTTCCAGCTTCCATCATTTTTATATTTTTACCAGCAGTCTGCAAAATTACTATATGTTTGAGTTCAAATCTTAATTGTTAAATTTGCACCAACTTTCATCCTGAAAATTTCCCAGCTTCCATAATTTTTTTACCAGCAGTCTGCAGAATTACTATATGTTTGAGTTAAAATCTTAATTGTTAAATTTGCATTGACTTCCATCCTGCTCGTTGAAACAAAAGCATAGCTAAATTCATGATCAATAGTCAGAAGAAACCTTAAGCATTTGTCAGCAATAAAACCATTATCATTCATAATCTACGTTTACTAAAAGGCAACTCCCAAACAAACACGCATTTAAAGCAACAGAACAAATTAAAATTGATATATGAGGAAAAAACAATTAGTGACCAACCCAATCACAGGTTAAATGGTGACCAATAGGAAAGCAAAGGAAAGAAACAAGTGCGGAAAAAGGCTCAAACTATATATAACATGACCAGCAGAAACCTTGTATCTTGTATTAATTCGGAAGTGCAGTGCAGATAGAAATATTCTCTTCATCAAAACATTGCACAAGTCACCATACGTTTGGACCTTGCTCACTGGAATCTGCAGCAAAATCCAGAGCATGATGTCAATCCCAACCCAAATAAAGCGGAAAAAAAAACAATGAATCAAGCCCACTTTTCCAGAGGCTAGTATTTCTGCATGTTGCACATTGAATGCTAGTCCCAAAGGGAGAAACACATAAGCAAAATTTTCTACATGATGATAAAGAATTTAACAGCATATAACTGCAAGTGTCCTAGACACTCCAGATTTTTCTTAAATTACAAGAAGGGAACCAGAGAAAAACTTCATGTTTTTATGTTTATGTGAATGGAAAAGTGTTCTTCAAAGTGGCGTGCCATGAAAAGTGGCTAATGGGTACAGAATCAACAGCATGGGAAGGCGGGAAGGCGGGATTATTAGTAACCAATTAATTTTCTTACCTTTGACTAAGATGTAAAAATGATATTCTCCTTTCAAACAGCATTACAAAGACTTGCTCCTATATATCATGCATCAGATTGAAATATGACATATATGAATGAATAGAATCTTGAATCCATGTCCTCTGTGGGGAGTTGACAGGCAGTTATCTATAATAACACTAAATCCAAGGCAAACTTTATTAGTGCCAATGCTTCACAGTCTCGCCATTCTAAAGTATGAAATAAAAAATAATTGTCATAACGCAACACTAATGCATATAAACTTGGGTTATTGAAGGGTGTTAACGACCCTCAAGAGACCAATTCAGAGACAGAGACACAATTTATTACTGGAACAAACACGTGAAACACACTTAGGTGGTAAAACACTGGGAAAAAAAATCCAAAGATCATATATCATTTGGTTTGGAAAATTTTATTCATGTTCATAATAAACTTTGTCCTTTGTAGGTCATCAATTATTCGTTGGGATAAGCGATGGTCTTCTTAATTTTTACAATACCCAGCTTGAAATCAAAAGCAAGAAACAAATTGCAAAAATGATTCCCATAATAATCAATTTGCACCGACTTTGGTATAATTTGTTGCTCGTGAGTTGACTTAAAATGGCCTGTTACAGAATTCAGAAGATAAACTTTATTTTGTTTCTATTCTATCAGAAGTAACAAGGAAATTTTTATTTCACTCAACTGCGATATTGTAGAATTCAATTCATTCCTTCAAAAAAGTTCCAAATTGAAGGGGGCAGAACATATGGAGACCCCGACACAACACTAAAAAAATTTTTAAAAAAAAAACACCCAAAAGATCTAGAAATCAAGTGGAACTAAGATTCAACTTAACAAGCAGAACCGTAAAACTTTAAATCAAAGCATGCAGTCAAACAAGTTTCTGAGATGATAAATAACTGATCAGTCATTGCAGTATCTCGAGTAACGCAATGAGACAATGCAAAGGAAGTCCTTCCTAAACAGAAACACCACTCAATGGCTTCACTTTCTGCCAAAATTCCCTTTCCAAGTAGCAAGAATCCCAACAACTCTTCAATTTTACTGTTTGTCATCACAACTTGCACATGAAGGTGGAAACAGTGATGCAGATAAAATGATGTTTTTTACTGAATTTGCTCTGAAGTTAGAATGCAGTGAGATACACACAATAGCAATCATCACCCCAAGAAGTAGGAGGATAAAAAAAAACAAGAGCATCTGCAAAAGAACCAGCACCCAGCAAAATGCTGCAAAACATGACCACTACTCTTGTTGTCCATACCTTGCAAAACATATTAATTGAGAAATTCTGAAGAAACTCATGCTGAAATATTTGCGGTGGCTTCAAATTTGCATTGCTTCCAGGGAGAGACCAATAATGCTCGACAGGAGGACGAACTGCATGCCTTTCCCTTTTAATGATTTTGGATTGGTCTAGAGAACTAGATGACTTTTCATGAGGCGAACTTCCAGGGAGCCCAACTGAGACCTTAGGAGCAAGAAAACTAGCCATTGCACCAAATGCACTTGGAGAAGGAGCAGAAACTGTCTTGTTTTCCAGGCCAGTTTGTCCAAAGACATTCTGCACATCAAGAAGTAATTATAGTCCTTGTTTCAAGATGGATACATAAGTTACTAATCCAGACAATGATTAATTGCTATAAATTATGATCAACAAGTTTTTGGGCATACTTCAATTTGGTGAACTGTCTTTGAAATGTTATCAATGTCACCAACAATGTATAGAGTTGCATTTGCTGGGAAGTACCAACGCTCATGGAATTTCCTAATTTTCTCTGCATCCCACTTCTTAATCTGCTCTTCCAATCCTATTGGGAACCTTTTGCTCAGCTTGTTTTCTGAATGTAGATGTTGTAACAACTACATTCAAAAGAAAATCATCAAACATTGATATTAAACAGAAATATTCAAACATTAACTAGTATCAATTTACAAGCAACACTGAGTCTGTACCTGGCAGTCAACACGATATTCTATAGTATTCATCATCTGTAGTTCTGAAAGTATAGCACGCCTTTCCTTTTCAACTCGAGAAGCAAGGAAGCTCGGGTGGAAAGCTATCTGTTCAATGAAACGGATACATTAAATAAGACATTGTAATTGTCAAATCTTTACTCTGCATGCCATCATCCTAGCAAACATTTGTCTTCTTGACAAAAAAAGAAACAAATCCAAACTAAGGGAAGCATCTCAAATACAAGAGCAATTCCTTCATCTATACCTCATTCAAGGCATCCAGCACAGAGGGGAGTAGATCTCCATCAGCATCCTGGCAAGCACCATTTGCCATCAATAAACACCACATGGTGGAATTTAATCAAAAAGTATTGGTGCAAGAAGCAAGAAAAAGATAGCAAGACATAAAGATAATGTAGTTTATAATGCAAGCATTCAATTACAATAGGCAAGCATGGCGACACAATATTGCAAGACATACTAATGTATCTCCCTAATTCTCTCAACAAGTCAAACAGATACTCATTCTATACTATCATATGTCTACCATATTGGTACAGATAACAATCAGCAAATCCACCAAAATTCAAATGTACTCTACCAAATTAATGAAACTTACCCATATGTATGTTAACTTCCATAACTTTATCAGATGCTTGGTGCACACTATCCCGTGCAAAAGACAAATTGAACAATAAGATTTATTGTGTGCTTGCTATTGTGGTGCAGGGTGCTTTTAAAAAAAAATCTCTTAAAAATGCACTAAAATGATTTTTTTTTCAGTTTTTTTTTTTATTTTTAACATCTACACATCAAAATATTAAAAGCGCTTAAAAAAACATCAATTTGATTCTTTCTTAAGTGAAAGCACTTTTGAAAAGCATCTAAAAGAATAAACTACCATGCTCCCAAACACTCACATAGAATTGTTTTCAATAAAGTCACTCTAATATGTTGGGTGCACATTCTGAAGTCTTTTTTTACTTCCAGCAAGGTGCAAAACATACCAACAAGCAACTTAGTTTGAATCAGATGAAGCACATCTACAAATGCACACAAACACACAAGTTTGTGCTAGTAATTAAATATCTTCTATTAAACACAACAATTATATATTGTCTAATACACGTATATTCCTTAATTTGTAGTTACAATCCTTGCTTTGTAGAGTTAACAGTCTTTTGCTGATACATAAGATATCAATCAACTATATTATAAATTTGCAATCATAATCCATGCTTTAAAGTGTTTAACTACTGTTTTTTTTTTTTTTTGGCTCACTATAAAAGAAATTGAATATTTAGATGGCTTTTATTTTTTTATATTTCTCCATCATGGTATAGAATTATTTATCTTCAAACAATACTTTCTTGAACCCATCAAAAGTAACCAAAGAACTGCAAGGAAAAAACCAGATCAAAAGAATATCACAATAAAAGCACACAACAGAGTGAAAGGAAACAGTTGGAGCCTAAAAAGGTGTTAAGAACACAACAACCAAAACCATTAAATTAAATCAATTGTTAGTGTAGGAAAAGATTGAGTAAAGTGACAAACCTTTGTACAAGTTGGTGAATGAATGTGGAACACTGTATGGTGGAAATCAGTGTAAGCATTAGATCGGGCCCCTGTTCCAAGAAGTTTCTCACGTTTCTTACTTCCAAGGAATGCAACATGTTCAATCATATGTGCGATTCCTTGCTCATCATCTTCCTCGTCTATTGATCCTACATGAACTTCCATGTGTGCCTCAAACCTAAAAAATTGAAAGTTAGTTTTGTATATGAGAGAAGGAATGGTGAGTTTTGACCACACCAATTACCACCATCGAATTAAGACCGTTAACCATGGATGGTATCCTCTCTTTCCAAATACTACTGACTAGATGAAATGAGAAATTTTACGGTACTGCATAGATGGGAGTTAGAGAATTAAAAGAAAAGATTTCAGGGCCCTCTAGATTTTGAGTAGAAAAATAAAGCAAATGTGATTTTGAAAATCCCACAACTATACATCTCTTGTGAGAGAAGAATTTAACATTCAGTCATAAGTTCTAATATCATTTGGTGAGCTAAAGAGAAATTCAATGAATAGATTTAGTATCATAACCATGCAACTACTATATTCTTCAGCATGGTCATGAATTCAATTTACTTTAACTTACACCTAGTTCAACACATTTCATGATAACTGGAATTGGCCTGTAATATGTCTCCCCTTCATAATGTTAGCTTTGCTCTTGTGAAATATGAAGTTAATGTATTGTCATAATGGAAGCTTTTGTTGGATGTGCTAACATATTTCAAATTTGTAATCCATTAGACTTCCATAAGTAAAACACCAAATGCTAGTTACATCTAACTTGCAAGAAAGGTTCAAACAATATGTTAGCTGTAAGCATCATATGCTATAGAAGAATGAACTTATGAACATATGGAGAATTTAAGAAAAGCATCTATAGTCAAGAATACATGGAGCAACCCAATTCCTCAGAGTAGAAGTCTAGGAAATTTCTTATTGAAAATAACCTTTCAATATCACATTGATGGATGATTATTTCATAATTAATGTTAATGGATGGGTTACATATATACATATACAAGGATGCTTACTGTTCAATGATCTGAGGAAGAGCACTTAGTTTCTTTATTTGTTATGAATTGTTATTGTAGTTTATCTTTTCCTCATTATTGAAGAGTTTAACCCTGAATTATGCCCCAAAAGTCACCTTCAGGTCCTCTCACACTTCATTTGACAAGGACATGTGGTAATAAATGTACAGGGATGTATGTAATGATATTTCAAGCATTTACAAGAAGTAAATATAACTTTTTTGAATGAACCATAGAACAAGCATCTAGCTCCTAGCATGCGGTAACTATCTTATATAATAACCATAAGATTTTAGAATTCTTAAAGTGGCATGCCCTGGAAACATGATGAATAACATAAGTCACACAGGAGTGCATGAACTATACCTGTTTGGTGGAACTTTATTTGGTAGAATCAGATAACGGAGTCCATTTTTCAGTTGTCCTCTGTGCAACTTTGGGTGACATGGAAGTTCAGAATTCAAAAACTCAAGTAGTCTTGCTCTTTCTAATTCAGAATCTAATAAATGGGAATCTTGTCTCTCAAGAATACCATCTGGGCAGGCTATACTTGCTGCATGAGGCTCATTTGGACCCATTGATGCACATGGGGCATGAACATGCTTTCCCTGGAAATTATGCAGACAACAATCAGCAATCTAGAAAAATATGCATACATCATATGCATGAAAAGACTACAATAAGTTAGTAGCAATTATCTGAGGAGGCAAGCGAAGAAAATGGACACTGGAATTGAACAGACATTGGAACAAACACAATTAGGGATAACAGTCATACAATTTTCATAAATAAGGAAATGCTCTTCAGATATGGTCATTAATTAATCCCTGATCACAGTGAACGCACTCTAGTAACAGTAAGAGTACCAAACAAATCCAGAAAACCCATGCTTAAGCTCCACTTGAGTAGGCAAAAGCTTACGATTGTTGGATCGGAGCTGAACTAAAGAACAATTAAGGCAAGCTCAACCTTGGCATGAATTCCAAATAAATTTGTAGGAATCCAAACCAGCTCTAATTACTTACCTTTCTTCTCTATTCTTTTTCTTTCTTTCCTTCTTTCTTTCTTTCTGTCTTTCCCTTTCTTTTATAGATTAATCTATAAATGCTCATCAATTAACTTATGCATGTGCCATTGAATTCTAGAAGATATCACATAGAAGAACCACTGAACCAGATGCTTGATGCAAGATTAACCTTCTTCTCATTCTTTTTGTCCTCAGAACTAATGCAAAGCGAACCTTGAACATGCAAAGAGTGCAAGGAGTGTGCTCCATATCCAGAGTGCTCAGAAATACAATAAGGGCAATGGAATACTTAGGATTTGTGAATAACAGATAGTTATTGGCAAGCTTAGCCTATTGTAAGAACAGGAAAGGTGGTAAGAATTTGAGAATATGTACAGATTCTATGGTGGTTTTTCTTCTTTCTATTGCCACTTTGGATTATTTGTAGTAGGAAGGAGGTTCATTAATCTCTCTCTGCTGCTTCCATCCGAGATTCTTAATTCTTCATTTCTAGCATATTGACCAGGTTGTTTATGTCAAAGCAGCCCTTTTGCTGCCCTTTTTTGATGTGTTGATGTTCTACATGATCCATAGCCTTTCCTTCATGCTCTAAGCCACTATTTCACTGAGCTTCCAGAAATTCAAAACTAATTTAGGCCCTTTTACAGCGCACATAGTGTCCACCATTCCCTAAGTTTATGGTGCAATGGAGTGTAAACATGTCATCGTATCACTGCCGACACCTTCAAAAAAGAGTTGTTGTTTCTTTTTCAAGGATGTTGTGTTGAGGCAAGGAAGTCACTAAAGTTTATTCAGTTTTTGCAGCTTTGACACTTTAAGAGCACAAGTTTAAGATTTCTCCAACCAGGAGAGAACAATGCAGTTGAAAAAAAAGAGAGGCAGAATTCCTATATTCTAATGTGATTTTCAAATAGAGGAGTATTTTGAAATTCCCAAATCTGATGGATTTTCAGAGTTTAGGTTTTACTTTATAAGTCCTGAAAATTTTGTTTCAGTTTTCCTACACTAATTATGATTTTAGGAATTGTTATTTTGCTTATTCAGGAGTTCACGCCCTTAAAAGACTGGGAGAATTTGGAACTCTATATGAAGCTATTAGATATGTAATATTTCAATATGGAGAAAAAGAATTATGAATAAAACTTCCAACAATTTATGCTTCCATGATTGTGAGATTTCTAAGAATCCTACCTATGATGCTTAGGTTTTTCTCTTTGTAGGTCTACAAGCCTTACTTCCCTTTCTCTTTAACCCAAACCCTAAAATCCCCAATTGTCTGAGCCTAAATCACCATAGAGAATGAGGACAGAAATCTCAAATGCGTCGTGCATCATAGAAAACACGAGATTCAAAAACATTCTGTTCTAAAAAAAAAATTCTAAGCCTCTCTTTATTGAGACAACAGTTGGGGATATAACAGCATTTTGGCTTATTTTTGTGCCATTCTGGGATCTTTTAATGATTCACAGTAACCGATAATCGATAGAACTAAAGAGCTTTATTTGTCCACCTAATAAACACACTTCATTTCTGTGATCGCATTTTTGCCTCCTTTTTAATATAATCTTCTTCTTCCATCTAGAAGGAGAAAGGGGGTGGGGGATAACATTTTGACACCTCAAAACAGAACAGATTGTCATCAAAAGTAGGAAGCAGGAGATATGTACTTACAGAAGCAGTATCGAATGAATGGCCAGACAAACGAAAAGCAGACTTATCAATAAAGGCTCTCGGTATAGATCTCTTGATGCTATAGCGGCTTCTACGGCGGTTAAGGGAGAAAGACATGCACTTAAATTGTTCTGGAAAAGATGCCTCAACCACTCTCTCACCAAGGAACGAACTACAATGTTTCCAAGCATTATTCTTCTTTCTACTAGTACCTGATCTACCGGCAGCAATCTCATGTTTCCAACTTCAAAAAAAAAAAACTAGACTTGAGCAAGCAGAACAATAAATTTCAGGTAAAGCATAAATTTCATCAATTCATCATCAAAAACCCTCAAAATTGTACAAATTGTAAAATCTCAACTACACAGAACAGTTCAAGTTCCAGAAATGCGATTACCTTTTGGAGGAAATGGAATGACAAGATTGATGATGGCTGGCTTGGAATCGAATCAAAGGGGAACGAATTAGGTTTATCCGGTTCTTCCTTGAGAAAGTATCATCTGTACGGATTTGAGGCAAGCTCGTCAACAATACAGAGCTTGAGGCAGCTGTATTCGCCATGACTAAACCTATAAAACAAGAAGAAGAAGACGTTACAGGATACGCAAGTAAAACAACAGTTAACAAAATTAAGTATCCATAGAAGAAAGCTGAAGCAGATGGAAGAAGAAGAAGAGGAAGAAGAAGAAGTTATAGATACCGTATGCTGCCGGCTGAAGAGAATTGATTGATTGACAGGCCTCTCTCTTGCTATCCTTCTCTTCGTCTCTGCTTAAGATTTTTTTTCCTCGGGGTGGGCTGGGTTGTTCTGCGTCATTCTAGAGCATGGCTCTGGCTCGTTAATGTGCGTGTGTTATTTGTGATAGGTGGCTAGCTTCTTTTCCAGGCAAGAGATTTTGGAGGTTAGACCGTTTGAAGATATTCGGCAACGTGGTTCAATCGTCTTTTTGAAAAAAAAAAAAAAATTAATTTTTATTATTTTGACAGGATAATATTAAAAATATATAGTTTAACATATTTTTAAATAAAAAATATTTTAACAAATAATATTTATTATATTCTCAACCAATGACTGCTTGAACGAGGTGAGTAAATTAAATAATTAATTGAATTATTCAAATTATTTGTAAAAATTGATTCCAAATTGATTAAATTAATTGAGTTGAATAATTTTTTTATTTTTTTGAATAATTTAAGTTATAAAATTAAAAAAATAATTTGATTAGATTTTAATTTGAAAAATAAAATAAAAAATTGAATAAAAAAACTCTTATTATAAATTAAAAACTTATTAAGTTAAAATTGATTAAAAATAGCATAACTAAAAATCCCATTAATTAAATTAGATTTATTTCATTTTAAAAAAAACTTAAAACTAAACTAATAAATTTAGTCCAGTTTTGGTTTGACTGGAAAATAAATTCAAATTTTTAAAGATTATTTGATTGATTGTTTTTTTATCCATATCAAATTATTTTATAACTTAGATTATAATAAAAATTGTTTTTGAAAACAAATTTTTAAAGATTATTTGATTGATTGTTTTTTTATCCATATCAAATTATTTTATAACTTAGATTATAATAAAAAATGTTTTTGAAAAAAAATTAACTTAAAAATATATTAAAATAATATTTTTATTTTTAAAAAATTATTTTTAATATCATAACATCAAAATAATAGAAAATACACTCAAAAATAATTTTAAAATTTAAAAAAAAACACAATTAAACTCTAAAAATAAACACACCCTTGTCTCTCACCTTGCATGCGTTTATTGTTATACCTTGTTTCCTTTTTTTTTCATCTCAAGTTATTTTTCACATTTATTAAACATGAGTTGGCCTGGCAGATCAATCTAGAACTCAATCAACCCAATAAATAGACCGGTCTGGTTTAATAAAAAAATTGATTGGGGCAACAACCCGATCAAACCCGAGCGACCTAATAGGTCGACCCATAACTCGGACAAGACCCAATTTTTTTTTTTAAATATAAGATTTGAAACCTATTAGTATATATATTCTATGTTTTTAATGAAAAAATCATGTTTTTTCAATATGGGATATTTGTTTAAATATTTCAACTTAAAAGGATAACATTGTATATTTTCAATATAAAATTTGAAGTTCTTTCATATATATACTTCATGTTCACGTGAAAAAAATTGTATTATTTCAATGTGGGATTTGAAACCTATTAATATATATATATATTCTATATTTCCAGGAAAAAAATCATGTTTTTTCAATATAGAGTAAAAAACCTTTTAGTTTAAATACTTTAACTTAAAAAGATAATATAATATCTTTTTAATGTAGAATTTAAAACCTTTCGTATATAATTATATTTTTTCATTAAAAAAATTATATTTTTTCAATATGGAATTTGAAACCTATTAATATATACATCCTATATTTTAGGAAAAATGTTATGTTTTTTAAATATGAGATTTTAAACCTATCAATATATATATTTTATATTTCAAAAAAAAGTTATGTTTTTTTAATATGAAATATAATTTTTTTTATTTAAATACTTAAACTTAACATAATATCTTTTCAATGCAAGGTAAAAAAAAAATTTAAAATATTTTTTTATATAATCTATATTTACATTGAATTTTTTATATGAAAATAATAATTTTTCTGGTTGATCTAGGTTAATTGAGTTGATCCGGGTTGACACATAAAACATGGAACCCGGCCCTTGACTGGATTTAATAACTATAATTTTTTCATTATCATTCTTCGATTCTTGACTCTATCTATTTTTTTAATTAAAATTTATTTAAAAAATAATGTTTTTAAAATTTTATTTTTTATTTAATTCCGATTTTGTATTTTCAATTCTCATCATCCTTGAAAGTTGAATTTTAGTGTGCACGTCTATTTGATTTTTGGTTAGATTTTCTTCCCTTTTATGTTGTAAATAATTAAATTTCAATATTAATTAAGTAGAAGTTTGTGCCTCGCTACCATATGATTCTCGACAGGATCCCCAGGGAAAAACAATCACAAATATTATCCAATTAAATACCACTGTTAAATTCATGAAAAAACCGACTAGATTTAAGATGTATCCTTGTATTTAAGATAATATTTGAGAATATAATAGTAGTTGTTTTTTAAAAGTATTTTTTATTTTTTAAAAATTATTTTTAACATAACATATTAAAATGATCTAAAATTATTAATTTTTTAAAAACACATTTCCAAAACATAATCCAAAACATACCCTAAAATAGACAAGTCTTTATATATGATGATAATTTATTCAGTAATGCTCAATAAATAGGAAACCCAATCAGTAATATTTGTTGTTTAGTAACCAAATTGAGAATTTAAGGATAATAGTACAATTTCCCCTTCTTGTCAATAAATATTCTAAGATTATATTATAATTATAAATAAAACTAGAGATTTAGGGTAGATTCATTATATTGTTTAGCAAGATACAAGACATTATGAATTGCATGGTAGAAAGTAGAAACATTATATATGAAAGTTCATTTTGATTCCTGAAGTTTTGACTTCTATTTGCCTAGTCTCTATAGTTTTTCAATTTTTATATTTGAGCCCCCAAATTTTATTTTTATCATATTTAATGATTTTGAGAGAGGAGAGAGAAGTTGTAGGAAAAGGCAGAGAAGAAAAAAACAAAATTTATTTTTATTTGGCTTAAATTTTTATTTTTAAAGTGATTATAAATCATTAGGGGTTAGAAATAAGATTATCTAGGATTTGTACGGTGTTTTTAGGTGTTTTTTTTTTAAAAATTAGATCTTAAAATTTAAAAACTCAACCCGAATAATTTAACCACTAAAAAAGCCCAAGAATTATTGCATCACACAACAACAATAATGTCATTACATTATTCATCATTGTTTTTTTTTTCCAATCCATCAAATTTCTCTCAAAACTATATAACAAAGGAAAAGTCTATGGAGTTTCAAATCAAATATTTAAGTTTCTCTATTTTATAAAAAAATAAAAAATAAAATCCTTCTCTTTTTAATTCTAACATGTTTTTTTAATATGGTAATTAGCCTATTTAATTTTTTTCGTTGAATTTGTTCACATTTTTTTGTTTTTATATGGAAATCTTCCAAATGCTAGAATGGAAGGTATTTTACGGGATCATAATGGCTCAGGGATCAAAATGTAATTCTCGAATCCAATTCACAAGGAAAACACGAGATTTATTTAATTCATATTTGTTTTTGCTATAAAAAAATATTTTTAAAAAAATTAAGTTTTTATTTTTATATTAAATTATTTTTTATGTTTTTGTATTGTTTTTTTGGTATCAAAAATAAAATTTTAAAACATAAAAAATATTATTTTATTATAAAATTTAAAAAAAAAACCTTAAAAAATACAATAATATTAAATAACCTCTAAAATCAAAACAATCACGAATCGGGGCCATGATTAGATCACCGACACTATCAAACACCCAGCAAGGGGGCAAAGTGTTTTTTTTTTTTCCTTTTTTTTTTTTAAATGCCAAAGAAAAAAAGCTGAAATATGCAAGAATAGTACTTTTTGCTTTTTTTTATATAAAAATACCAAAACAATGCTCAGAGGACTGACCATAAAAAAAGAAAAAGAAATTCCTTTTCGTTTTTTTTTTTTTTTATGGCGGAGCAATACATAAATTTATTTAGAATATATTTGGTAGTGTGGTAATGATTTCTTTTAAAATAATTTTTCATGTTGAATTGAATGTTAATGATTTTTTTTAGTTTTTAAAATTATTTTTAATAATTTAAAATATACAAAATATATTAAATTTAAAATTTTAAAAAATACAGATGAAATCACATTCATAAACAGCAGCACCAGAGCCTCTGTTACCGCAAGTCACTTCATCCTTCGAGATTTCTTGTTGAGTACTGAGGATATTTAATTTATTGTTAGTGCCCGATTCTTACTGCACGTGTGTGCATAATACATAAATAAGAGACAGGTCAATAATTAAACATAAATAAATAAAGAAAAAGGGACTGACCACTCCTTCATTAATCAATGCATGGCTGAGCATTAGCCCTTATGAAGCTAATTAAATTGTTGCCTGCAAGCAAGTCCATTAATTTCAACTCGCATGTTCAAGCAATGATCATGCGAGATGGCTAGCTAGCTAGCTTCCGTAATTGAAGAGTAGCTACTTGTTGAGTGCAAGAATTGTATTGTATCTCAGGATGGGGAAGGAAGGGAAAACATGTTGTTTTCACACTACAGAAAACAGGGGCTGTTAGCATCTGAATTTAGCAACGGATACGGATAATTCCGTTGCTAAATTCAATAACAGATTTGCAACGGATTATATATATATATATTATTTTTTTAATATTAGCAATGGATTTTAGCAACGGATAATCCATTGCAAAATTTACGTTGAATTTAGTAACGAATTTTCCATTGCTAATTGAAAAAATAAAAATTTAAATGTTAATATAAAGTTAAAATTATGTAGACCGTTGATTACATAAAATCTAAACCGTTTATTTTCACTCTCTCTCCCCACACTGAAATACAGAAAACAACAAAACCATTTATAGTTAAAAATTAATTCACTTTCACTCTTCCAGTGTATCCTTCATTCCTAATAACAATATTAATCCCTAACTGTTGAAAAATCACCCTCTCTTTATCGATTTCATCTTCCTTTATCCCAAACTATTCATCATCTTTGCATTCATTTTTAGTATCTCTAATTTCTTTTCTTCATCTTCTTCTTCTTCATCTTAACAGTTTCAATATTTCTATGTAAACCAACAAAAACACAGACCTATGGCAACATCGCACCAGACCCATCATCATCACCTTCAAACATCCTGATTTACCCCTTCTCTGTAAACGGGTTAGGTTTTGCGCTTTTTTCTTCAATAGCTCAGGTAACTAATTTAGGGTTTTTGTTTTTTTTGTTGCAATTGAAATTACACTAAACAGTTCTAACCTAAATTTTTTAATCTCAGGTGTTATTTTTTCGTGTTGATCCATCTCCCTCATCTGTAACTGAAGAACACAGGTAACAATTCTTTTTCCAATACTTTGAATAATGGTTTTAAGCTATTAATTCGATAATATAAGGTTTATGAAATGTTTTTACCATGGTTTATAACCTAATTATGCATGTTTAATTGAAAATTCATGAAAACCCCCAAATTAATTTTTAGGGTTATGGTTCATAAATTGAATGATTTTATACAACTTGACTAATGCTGACAATTCTTGTGTCTGGAAGAGAGTGATTTATAGAAATTATGCATGTTTAATTGAAAATTTATCAAAACTCCTAATTTAATTTTTAACAATTAGTATTATTGATGCTGGGTGTTCTTTGATGTCTGCAAGTCTGTTTGTCCTCCTGTGCGCCAACACCTAAGTGATTTGAATGTATTCATATGCTTATATATATATATATATAAAAACTTGCTTGTTGATGTCATGTTTCATTAATAAGATTGCTGTTTTATTTTTGTATCTTCATTTATTCTTTTTTTCTTGCTGTTTTACTTATTATATATATATAAATAGTAGAATTGTATAGTGAAAGAGGTTAGAATTCATGGTTGCTTCCTCCTTGCATGGTGTTCAGTTAATTTCCCATATTAGCTATATATGTTGTTTGTTTTCACTTGTTCATGGTTGCTTCCTCCTTACATGGTGTTCAGTTAATTTCCCATGTTAGCTATATATGTTATCTGTTTTCACTTTATTGTTCTGTCTTAAGGTCAGCATGCATGATTTGGAAACGTTTTTGATCACCAAATGGTTTAGGTGGTAGGCTTTTAATTCAGTTTAGCTAAATGTTAGATAGTATTTATTTTTTCTTTTTAATCCTTCCTTCCCCCTAATTAATGTCCATTATTCTCACATTGCCTAACTAGACTAGCAACCCACCCGTAAGGATGCAGGATCCCAAAGCCTAACTATTTTTTTTAATCTAAAATGCTCTTAATTACATTTTAATATGATAGTCACATTGAGAATTAAAAAAGGTTAGAGAAACAAAGTAAGAAATGGGACATGATTTTTTAGTACATTAAATATAATAATTGCATTATTTAATTTCATTTATATATATATTTTGCTTTCTCTATTTTTAAAAATTTCCTTAATTTAACTATTTTTTATTTTATTTTTTTCAACTCAAAAGCATTCTAGATATAATAGGAAGTTTGGAACTGGCTATATAATTCATCTATATGTATGATTCAGCTATTGAATTTTGGATATAAATCTGTGATATTTACTCATTTTGTTACATTACCTAATGCTTGCTTTGTTATTTGGCCTTTTTCTTTTTTTTTTTAATTTCTAGGTCCTGACATGACTTTGTTCAATATGATGGCTTAGGTTTTTAAGCGTGGCATCAAGTTATCTTTCTCAATAATTAATCAGCCTTGGGGTTCTTTTTGGCACGAAAGTGGTATATTGCGTTCTTATTATTATTTACTATAATCTCCTTAATACTTTGTCCTTTTGAGGTCTTGTGCTCTTATACTACATGTCATTTACATGGAATATCATTTAATGCATCCAACTTCCTTTGTTCATGTAATTTTTCTGCATGTCATTTACTGTTTTTATACAAACTTTTATCATTTTCTGCATCTGCTACCATTGTTAATTAGAGTTAATTATAATTTAGTCTATGCATTTTTTATGATTTTATAAGTTATTCATTATGTTTTTGAAAACCATAAGTTAGTTCCTTGTTATAAATTAAATGTTAGTTATTTTAAAATTTCAAAATTAATTATGTTCAAGATTGAAAATTTTCAGGTTAAATCTTAGAAAAAACAAAATTGTTATGAGAAGACAAGTGCCAAAAAATATTAAAAATTAATAGTTTAACTTGAATATGCTTTCTGTTTTTCATAGTTTAACTTGGATTTGTTTTAAAGACTAACAAGTGTTATAAGTGGATGGGTTTAAGGTGTTATGCATAATTCCTTTACCTAAGATGTACACTAGTAGATTATCAATGAATGTCTACTGGAATTTTGTTTGTTGAAGCTCATTTTAGAGTTATTTGCTTTGACATTCCATTTCTGCAACTGACCTCATGTGTTAGTTATTAACTAAGAGGTGGACTTGTGTATTGTATCTTCTTGGTAGGAGTGGTGGATTTCAAGTAGCATCCACTCATTGGCCATGTATAAAAGGAACTGCCACATTACAGAATTGCCCTTGATGGAACTCAGTACAATTTTTTACTGTTAGACAGTGAAGGAATAGATGCCTATGATCAAATAGTAAGCACATTTACCTTATCAAGATGAATTAATGATTGTTGTGCTGGTTTTATGTTTTAACAGTTGAAGAATTGATGAATGACTACTAATCAATTTTATTAATTGAAGAATTTTTTTTCTGTGATTCCTTCTTATTTATGATTTACACCATATCCTTTTTATATTCCCACACAGCTGCTGTTTTGGATTATGCAGTAATTGTTGTTTTGGTTAGCTAGGTTTATTTACAGCTAAATTGTTTGTGCTATGTTTTTTATATTCCCGCGTTGAGATTGAGAAGACAACATTTCTCTTATGGTCTGCTCATGTCAATTAATTAACAATAATATTACGCTTCATACGTAGTAAGAGAAGAAAGAGACAAAGATACAAATGTTGGAATAAAAATAAAAATGTTGGAATAAAAATAAAAAGATTTGAATATATGATTATGATTTCATTTACCATTTCTTAGTTTACCAAAAAAAAATCTGAATAAAAATAAAAAGTTTGATGGATCCAAATAAAAGGCTCCAAATAAAAATAAAAAAACTATTTGAGGTTGTAACAAAAGTTAGAAGGATCAATAAAAAAAAAGAACTCTAAAACTACTCTAAAGATAAATTTATTTAATATTTTTTCAACTAAATATTTTTTTTCTTTATCCGTTTATTCTGTATAAAATACTAATCGAACATAATCTAAAAGTCTACTTTTGTCAATAGTTGGAAAATATAAATGAAAATTATTAAGATTTATTTAAAGCAATTAACAAAAACTCAATAACAAAGAGTAGAAGGAAAACAATTATCCAAGTTCTTACAAACACATGTGCATATATCCCATCATTAACATTTTTTAGCTTGATATATGTGTGGATTCGACAAATAATTAAAGTTTATTTATGTTGTACATATTTTATTTTAAAGGATTGCTTAAGTACTAGTAGTTAAAGAAGTATGCTTATTCCTAAAAATGCTTATTGGTGTTGTCCTGTTAATTAGATTAACATGGATGATCGATTGTGGATGTATCGTCGTCTTATGGATGGTCGCCTTCGTCCTGAATACATTACTGGTGTTAGAAGATTTATCAATTTTGCATTTTCAATTGATAAAAATATATATAGGGGAAAAATTAGATGTCCTTGTGTGAGGTGTAAAAATCAAAAGTTTTTAAAGGAAGATGATGTTTATAAACATCTATTGACAAAAGGTTTTTTACCTTGTTATGAAAATTGGACAGTACATGGGGAGCCTTATGTTGCAGAACCAATATTAGCTGGACCTTCATCAATTGGAATGAGTTATGTTGTGAATGATGTTTGTCTAGAGAATCCATATAGGAATCTAGTTATGGATGCAATGGGGGTTGGTGATGCATTCTATAATGATAATGTGTCTAGTCCTGTGGTTGTAAGGGAAATTCCAAATCTAGAGGCAACTAAATTTTTTAATCTTTTGAAAGCTGCAGAGGAACCGTTGTGGGATGGGTGTACCAAGCAATCCAAATTATCTGCTTGTGTACAATTGCTTAATATGAAGTCAACTTTTAATTTGACTCAGAATGCCTTCAACAATTTTATTAATTTTACAAAAAGTTGCATGCCTAATGATGAAAATTTGGTATCAAATTTTTATGATGCCAAGAAATTTATGCGGCCACTTGGACTTGGTTATGAGAAATTTGATGTATGTCCTAATTACTGTATGTTGTACTATGGGGCAGATGCAATGAAAATAAATTGTGATTTTTGTGGAAGTTCACGATACAAACCTAGAAATCCAACTAGTAAAGGTTCCAATAAGACACATAAGCAACTCCGATACTTTCCCTTAACACCAAGGCTTCAGAGACTGTTCATGTCTCCATATCATGCCAAAGATATGATATGAAATCATTTTCATAAGTTAGATAATGGGGTTATGGTGCACCCATCTGATGGAGAGGCATGGAATGAGTTTAATCGTGTTCACTTCAGCTTTGCATCAGATCCGAGAAATATTCGATTAGGGTTGTGCATTGATGGGTTTTGTCCATTTGACATGTCTTTAAATACATACTCTTGTTGGCCAGTAATTGTGACTGTTTATAATTTGCCTCCATGGAAATGCATGACTAGACCATTCATGTTTTTGATAATGATGATTTCTGGGCCAAAGAATCCGGGTAAAAAGCTTGATGTTTTTCTAAGACCTTTGATTGATGAGTTAAAGAATTTATGGTCTGTTGGTGTTGAAACATATGATGATTTCATATTATTTGACAATATTTATGCTTTTAATGTTTTTTATTTATTATTTTAGCATAGCGTGTTATGTATCACATTACATATATCATTTTCATTGACCTTTGAAAAAATTTCTAACCTTTCAAGTATCAATCTTTAAATTGTGGTTCTGATGTTATATTTTATTTTATTTTGTGATTCGTTTTCTTGCTTATAGATGTTGAAGCATGAATGAAAAGGTTCTTCCTACTCAATGTTTGATTTATAGGAACAAACATTAAGGTAAGCATATTCATAAATTTTGATTTCTGCTTAATTAATTATTTAGATTTTTATTTTTATTATTGTTTGTGTTAATTGGCTTTTGACAATTTAAATTTCATGGCTGATTTTTATCATTGCAAGGAATGCTTAATGAAAATATATGTGAATTTTTTGTTCCTCATAGTTTAATTATAAGCTAATTTATTGTTATGTTGTATATATTCATACCATAATGTCTATATTTTTTTTCTGGTTTTTAGCATGCCTCGACAAGGATCCATATTAGATTCTAGGAGTTAAAGGTCCACATCAAGGAATGACAAGTCCACTTCATCCAAATCATTTCAAACTACATCAAGGCATAATAACAAAGGATCCACATTTCATCAACCTGTGTATCAGAACGCAAATGAGTATTATATACCTACTTTGGGGAGTACACATCCTCCTCAACATGATTATGGGAGGGTTGATGTATATCAATATTGTGAGGGCTTTCGTTTCTAAGATTTGCTTCAAACTTAAGGAGGTTTCTCTCGAGATAACCAACTTGTTTATGGAGGACATAATTTGTATAGGAGTTATGAGAGAGTTAATGGTGCTGATGATGATGTGAACGTTAGAGATGAAGAAGAGGGAGACGATAGTAATGAGAGAGGTGTATGTGATGAGGATCAAGATGGCGTTCCATCATATCATGGTTCAACATGTTCTCCACACAATTATGATCAAAGTGTTAAAAGGAAGGGTTTTGACACGCCAATAGATCCAATAACAAGAAAAAAAGAGCTTTGTTTGTATGGAACAACAGAGTAAGTTCAAACTTTTTAAAACAAACTTGTTAAGGTTATATTTTCAGGTATGAAAAAAATTACTTATTATTGTGTAATTATTTGTTTAATATAAGTTTGTTATTATATATTTTCAGGTTCAATAACGCATCGTGTAGACATGCAATCGAAGATATTTTGAGGTCCAATTTTAAGGGAGCATGGCACTCTTGGGAAAAAGTAGATTCAATGTGTAGGGATGAATTGTTTAAAGAGTTTAAGGTAAGAACCAACACTAATTGTTGTAATATTCTTTTCAATTTTAATAACTTTAATGTAGGATTATGAAAATTATCAATTAGCTATAATTGATTTGTGTTATAATTTGTACTTATTTCTTGTTTACTTTTTAATATCATTTAATTTCTATAATTATTACATCATCTTGCAAATTCTGAACAAGATAACACAATATGTTAATTATTTATATAATTTGAAATTTTGTGCACTTTTTTTACTTGGTATATATATTATTTGGTAGAAAAAATATTCTTTTCCTGAGGAAGATGAGTCGATTGCTCGTAATATTTGGGAAGAGAAGGCAAGGATAGCTTTGAATCAACAATTGACACGAGCTCGCAAGAAAGCCATGTCAAAAGAAAACACTACAAATATTATAGATTGCCTTGATAAAGTCCCGCCTGGATAAATAATGATGGCTGGAATCAAATGATCAAAGATGTTTGGTTCACCCCTGAATTTTAAAGAAGGTCTGAATCTGCTAGGAGGAATCGATTAACCAAAACAGATGGCAAAATAAGCACTCATTTTGGAGGAACAGTGTCATTTGCATCATATCGAGCTAACATAGTAAGGATTTTTTTTTTAATGCTTAAGATAATAAATTAAAATTTGTATATTTATCTTTTATAATATTTATTAATCTTGAAAGCAAGAGGGAGTTGGTGGAAAAGAACCTCCATGGGATGATGTCTTTTCAGCTTTGCATCAAAGTACTAAGTAGTCTGGTAGCTTCGTCGACAATAAGTCTAAAAAAATGGTTGTATTTATTTTTATTTGATTATTTCTTAATATAACTTAAGTATTATTTAACATTCAAATGAATTTATTGTTGCATGTATTTTATTTGTAGGAAAATTATAAAATGGAGATGATTTCAAAGTATGAAACTAATCGGGAAAATCATCCTTCATTTGATGGAGCAGCTTGGTGTGTGGCTTCAAGAGGAGTTACAAAGGGTAGGGTATATGGTGCACCTCCTATGCCAAAATCTAAAGTCAGTACAAGCTCTTCATCACATTCCTACTCAGTGGAGTCAATCTATAGTCAGTACAAGCTCTTCATTTCCTACTCAGTGGAGTCATCATATCCCAGTTCATCGTATCAAGCATTGCAAAGGAGATAAAGGATAAAGAAGAGGAGATAAAGAAAAACGATGAATTTATTCTTGAAATGAAACGACAGATGGATTCCATAAAAAAATATCTTGTGAACAATCTTGGATATCATGGTGGGACATCAAATATTGACCAAGGTATGCCACCATCTTTGACTCCATCAATATCGCCACCTATGGCTCCTCAGATAATGACACCTATGAGTCCCACATCTCAACCAATTTTTCGACCTACACCTCGACCTTTATATCCTGATCAATCTTGTATCGATCCACAATATCATGGTTCGTCTTCGCAACCGGCACCATGATTGTATCTTTTGTTGTTTTTTTTATTGTATTTGAACTTAATTGTATTAATGTAAGTTTAACTAAATTTTTATTATATGAATATTAGTTTTATTCTATTTTTTATTAATGATACAATTATTTTTAATATTAAATTGTGTTGGTTATATATATTTTAAAATTTTTAAAATATCCATAAATAATTAAATTAATTAATTAAAATTAAAAATCATTGCAATAAACAAATAAAAAATAATTTAATAAATATAATTACCAACAAATTCTTCGTTAGTGATTGTAACTAATGCATCAATCAGCAACGGAGAATTCGTTGTTGATTCACAAAACTAGCAATCCGTTGCTAAAAAATCAGCAACGGAAAATTCGTTGCTAAAAAATTAGCAACGACAAATCTGCATTTGATTTTTGTCATTACTGATTTCATTACTAAATTATTTTAATAACAGATTTTAGTATTATTTACAACGGAGTAATCCATTACTAATTATTATATTTTTTAGCAGTGTCATGAGCGAACCATTAACAAAAACATCGAGTTCGTCATCCAAAAAAAAAAAACTTCAAATGTGTAGTGTGCTTGGTCAGGACAAGCATTCCTCCTCCTCCTCCTCCTCTTCTTTTTTGGATCGGTAAGAACTAAAACGCGGTGGAAACTGGGAAAATCACTGTAAAATCCAACCATCTTGTGAGCTTTTTGTTTCAAGTTTTACTTGGGCTACTTGTTTCTTACCATGATGGTATGTCTATATTTTAATGAATCCTACTGCTAGAAGATGATGTTCTCAATCCAACGTCCAGCCATACGAGCTCTCAAGTTCTAGGTGCGGAGGTTGATATTTCACTGTTGGGGTGTGTCTAATAACTGAGTTACGGATATCTATTGATGATTAAGGAGGTATTGGTTAGTGTCGTAATGATTGTTTTTTATTATTAATATTTCTTTATTTTTTTTAAATCACTTTCAATATATATCAAAACAATACATATATATATATATAATTTTAAATAAAAATAAATAAATTTTACCCGACCTCCATTTATAACTTTGTCTGTACGTGTTATAAAGAGGGATACACGTCATCCGACTAGATATTGAATGGGATTAAACCATTCAGACTAGGTATTTAATACGACAACGTAGATCATATGAGGGGGAACTCTTTTAAGATACACGTGTACCTCAAATACATCAACAGAGATGCTTTAAATTTTAAACCCAAAGGCCCGAACCAATAAGTTGGCCTTTTTTTGGGCCGTCCAATTGGGAATCAAACCAATGCCTTAAGCTTTATATCAATTAGTCCTTCAAATCCAACTGGAATGGACTGTCAATGCGTGCAGTATGGCATCGATGGATCCTTTGAGAAGGCCTGCACATTGCCCCGTAAGAAGAAAAAGAAAAAAGAAAAAAAATGTTTCAACGACAGCATCCAGCAATGAGCCTTCTCCTCTGCCACCGTTGATACTTGTCTGAAAATTAAGCTAACTCTAGCATGCATCTTTGGTCTCTTTTCTGGATGAGGCATTAAAAATATCAATGAAGTTTATTTATGCATCTTGATCTACCTGAGAAATATATTATAACAGTCTGGTTTAACTTGTGATATATTATTTAAATTTTATTATTGTTATGGTTTTATTTATGATAACACGAGTTCATATTTAAGTTAAACACCTCAAAATACATATGACAAGTTAGCAACCAACATTTTTAATGAGACTAACTACTTCTCTTTTACTAGCCGATGTGAAATATTACAATCCATTATCCTTAAAGAACTGGAAGACTCCGACAGCATAACCGAACAATCAATGAGGTCTACTTTAATACCAAATATAACAGTTTGTCATATATTGTCCATTTTAAGTTTTATCATTCTCATGGTTTTGTTTCTAGTGATATAAATTCACATCTGAGATTGACACCTCAAAAAACATTTAAAAAATTGGCCACCAACCTTCTTAATAAAACCAACTACAACTTCTTCGCTCACTAATATGGAATATTACATATATTTAAACTTTAATTTTTATAAATACTAATTAAAGCTATGCTTTAAAGATATTAACTTGTTATCTTAGTTTATAATTCAATAATATATAATGTAAAAAACAAAATTTTTGAGTATGTAGGTAAATAATCTTGATAATATTAAATGAGAATTTGATCCCAATATATTATATAAATAATTTAATAAATGTTTTTATGAACAACCAAAGCTTATCTAGATTCAAGAGAATATTTGTTCATGTGAAATAATATTAACACCTAAAAACTGTAATAAGAAGAGGTTCAATTGTTAAATTAATTTTAAATTTTTCCATGTAATCCTATGATCATTTTTCTAATAAGCAACCACAACATCATTAATTGGATCTTTGCATGTTTCATAATTAAATTTTAGGGCTAGTTATTTTTATTTGGGTTAATGTTTTTTTATTTTTATGTTTTTTTTAATCCATGTTTAATTTCCTTTTTATTTTCAGATTTCTAGCTATTATCTAGTAAATTGTGAATAAATTTCCATGTTTTCATATTTCCTTTTTAATTTCCATGTTTTTTTGACATATTTAAAGGTTTTATAAACCTCTTAAAAAAACATTTCAGAAAATAAATTGTGAATTCATGAATCACATTTGCAATCCTCGTTGTTGTGCTATAGTTTTTAGTTTTTTTATGCATCAAAATGTCATTTTCTCTTCTAGAAAAACAATATTCAATATAACAACTAGATTTAGGTGGATCCAAACTATCTATGGGTATCCTCGTAATATTGTTGTTCATTATTGTAGTATACGTACGTAATCGTAATATGATTGATTTGATTCATGAATCTTCATGAATAAACGTTATTGATTTGCTTTATATAACTATTTACACGTGGCAATTTCTTTCTATCTACCACATTAATTAGATGAATGATCTTTCCTTTTGAGATGCATGAACAAGTTATTTTTTGTACGATCTCTATTAAGGACACCATGCTTAAATCTTTCGTGAAAACAAAAAACAAAAAACAAATCCAATTTCAGATCTAATAGTGATGTGGGGGCATGAGGCTGAACAAGACCCAGAACCCACTCGCATTTATGATGAAAATAGTAAGGGCACAAATTAACTATTGATGGTTGAAAGTATTTTCTCAATCCTTGGTTCCTTTTTTCTTCTCATCTTCCTGAAAGCTGTGCAAAGGGTAATCGAAGATCACAATCTCATATATATCTATATATATATATATATATATATATAGAGAGAGAGAGAGAGAGAGAGAGATTCCAAAAAGGTTAAAGGTCAGTTTATGTGCAAATCACTCATGCAAGTCATAGGCTCGTAGCTAGGTTCACATGAACGGGTGGTCAGGCTAAGAAGAGTGAAAGGTCCTTCCATGTACGGTGGATTGATTGATGAGGTACGGTTGCGACCCGCCATGCTCGACCTTCAATTATCCACATGAACATGACATGATGTCAATGAAAAATAAAAAAAGAAAGGGAGGCTAATTTGCAAGGGAAAGTCAACAAAGGTTTCTTAGATTGTCCAATAAAATTAGCCCCTACCTTCACCACTCTCCACGAAACTTACCAAATCCCCATTTCTTTCTTTATTGGTCCAAATTTGACCTTAGAAGATAGCTTTCACGATCCAATTTTGATTCATTCATTTATCACCCCCCACATGGTGTTGTAGTTGCCTGGAAGTCTCCTCAAAGTCCACTCTTGCAGGCAAGCTAGGGTTCCTTCCACCTTACACTCTAACATTTTACGTGTCAAACAGTTGTACACAGACGACTAGCCGTAGTTCTTGACTGCTTAAATCACCAAAATGTTTTGTATTCTTCGAAACTTATTCGTTGGTTTCTTGACTTGTAATTTTTTTCTTTAATTTGTTCACTTGCAAACGTTAATTATTGAATGTTAACAAGTCATTGGGATATGAAAACTAGAAAGAAAGTAAATGAGGTTTGAGGTTGAGAGATAAGAAAAATATATATAAATTTTAAATAACTTATCTCTTTTATAAATTTATGTATTTTCATAATTGAAAGTTCACAAAATATGCTATTTTTATTTTAATTTATTGCTCTTGTGATCATAACCAAATAACACGATTGATAAACCATTAATGAGTTGGAAAATATATGTTGATATATATCGTGTTTGTTTTATATATATGTTGATCATTTTTAAAACCAAACAATTTGAAACAAACTATTAAAGCATGAAATAATAATAACAAAAGGAATGAAAATCTTGTGTGTACTTTAATTTCTATCCTTTCGACCCCCAACAAGGAAAAAAAAAACAAAGAAACTATGAACATCTGAACCTCATTTTCATCCCTCAGAAGAAGGGAAGAAAGAGAAAAGGAACTATTGATAACAAGAGAGTAATTAACTATTCATAAAAAAAACAAAAAAATTGATAAGAGATATGTCTAATTAATTTCTGTGGCTTGTGTTGTTCGTGGCATTGCTGTTATTGTTGTTGTTGGTGGTGTTGCTGTTAGCACCACCAATGATGGAGCTGATGGCAGCTGCAAGTGCTGCAGTGAAGTTAGGATCGGCTGTGATGGCGGCAGTGGCAGCACTCAATGTGTCCTGAGATAGGGAAGGTTGTTGTCCTGAGTGCAATAAGTGGGGTTGAGCTTGTTGGCCTAATTGTGGTGTCCCAATTTCCTGAGACAACTGTAGGCCAGAGAATTTCGATTGGTTGTACAAGGCTTGACCAAAAACCTGAGGCAATTGTGGTGCTGTGACTGAGGAAAAATTCTGGGGCTGGCCTGGAAAAGGGACTTGGAATTGTGGAGGAGGTCTTTGGAACTGTAGAGGGTTTGGATTATGAGTAAGGTCTAATGTTACAGTAGGGAATGGAGCTGAAGCTGAAATAGTTGCCATATTTGATGAGCCAGCTGGGAGTATTGCTCTTGCTAGCAAATTTGGGTTCATTATGCCATCTGCACTTGACATTGATCCTGATAGTAACATGCTTGCAGCTGCTGCTGTTGTTGATGCCATTGCCATTGCAGCTGGAGGTAGTGGGTGATTGTGATTGCCTTCATAAGTTGTGATCAAGATTGTTCTATCCTCCGCGCAACGTTGAACCTGAAATCAATCACCAACATAAATTTCACTAGTCTTAGATAAAATCTTGATTGGATTATCGACAATACCTCAAATCATCCCTAACTTAGATTGAAAATGAGGATCAAGAAATGGACTAAAACATACTTGTTTTCGAACTGGACAACCCACTGCCATGGTGCATCGATAATAAGCCCTCGGACACGGGTTTCCTTTGGCCATCTTCTGACCGTATTTTCGCCATTGGCAGCCATCAGTAATCTGGAATCGGTCAAACCAAATTAGTTCCACTCCAATTTGTTGAAAGTTATATGAAGATTTTGAACAAGTCTTAGCTAGTTACATACCATGGGAGCTTCCGATCGTGCACGAACCGACACACGGGCTTTTCTCATCGTCGCCTCGGTCGATTGCTCTATAGCCTTATTAGCAGGACTGGCAGGATCCGTTTTCTGAACCTTCCATGCTTGTGATTCAGATTCAGGACTCTCTTCCCTGCCAATTCTTTTTCCATCTCGGAAGCTAGAATTTTCTTGATCATATGGAAGTTTACCATTGTTTTTTGCGGATGCAACTTCAATATGGTTTTGAGGTGTTCCAGAACGAGTCCTCTCATCGGACGATGAATTGGATAGTTCATCAGTCTCAGCTGAAGGGCCTAGATCCATGAATTGTCTGGGCACTACTACGTCCTCATGTTTCTTTTCCTCAGAAGGTTTTCCTTGAACAATATTCTGAACACATCAAAAACAAATCATTTAACCTACCTGGACCAAGTTAACATGATACACTAAAATCATCATCATCGTCATCATGTCAAGGATGCTTGGAATTATTTCGAAAGAAAATTAATTACCTCTTCCTCTTTATTGCTTTCTTTTCCATGATTTTGTTGTTGATGTTGCTGCATTAGTGCTGCAAAATGCATCTGTAAAGCACTGTAACTGGTGGTTACATGACCAAGCATGTCTTTTAACCTTTGATTTTCTGTATTCATTTTTTGCAGCTCCATTTGTAATTGTGCCAAGTTCTACATGTAAAAATATATATATACAAAATAAATAAATCCTTAAATAGGAAATATTAAAAAAAACTTGACCATCGATTTGGATTGTGTTTAAACTTATAATTACCTCGTTGTTCTTTGATCTCTTATCATCAACATCAGATGAAACTCCATCATCCACAGTTGATTGATCACTTCTAGAGTTAGCAGTAAGAAGGTGCAACCCAGTCTATATTTAGAAACAAAAAATAAAAGAAAATCAATATCTCTATTTACAGAAAAACTATATAAGCCATAATAATTCAAAAAGAAGAAGAAGAAGAAAAAACAGATTCATTTTCTTACATTTACATCAGGAGCAGTCCTGGTAGACCTTGGAGCAAGTTCAGCAATGGAATTCTCCTTCTTGACAATAACACTAGTGGTCTCAGAATCATCGTCACCAACCTTATTTATCTTTTCTTTAAAGAAATCTACTTCGTGAGCAGCAGAAGGTGGTTGCTCATCTTGGCCAGCAGAAAGACTACCTGGAAACTGAAACATATTATTGTTCCTAGAATGATCCATGTTATGATCACTGATGAAGTCTCTTTTGATCTTCAAAAAAGAGCCAACTGGGCTGTTGTTGTTGTTGCTGCTGTTGCTGCTAGAGAAGACAGAAACAGGATCAGAAGCAAGGGTAAGACCCCATCCTTTGTCCATAAATGAAAGAAAGAAAACAAGAAGAAATTCTAGGAAAGAAGAGAGTTTTTCTTGAGAGAGAGGGAGAGAGGTGTCTGTGTGTACGTGCTATGTGTGTAAAGTCTTTGAAGTCTTTAGCCGCTGCAATGAGCTCGGCTATAAAAAGGGTTTGAAGGGGGGACCAAAAAGAGAGAATATTGTTTTACAAAATTTGGGATTAAAATTGGATATATTTAGAAGAAATTGGAGGGATTTCTTGAGTGGTTGCGTCAGGTGATGCGTCAGGAATCCCTAGCTGGCAATGTTGGTCCAGTCTTATACTGCTGCTGATTTAAGAAATTTAGACTTTAGGTACTAGCAAAAAAAGGGTTGTCGTTGGATATCCATATACAGTAAGTGGATAGTCCATTGCCACGGCAATCTTAATAGGGCATCGTGAGTCTTATGAACAGCGAGACTTCTCTTCTTTTTATTTATTTATTTTAATATTATATTTTTTTAATTATATTTTTTATTTTTTAATTATTTTAAAATTAATCAAACTAATTTAAACTTGAGCTTAACAAAGAGTTAGGTTGAGAGAGTTTTTTTTTATTTTATCAATTTTATATTTTTATTAGTAGATTGTTTTAAAATTAATTAAGTTAAAGAAATAATATTAGAATAATTTTTGTATAATTTAATTTTAGATTTGGGCTTAACAATAAATTATGTTGAGAGATTTTTTATGTTAATTTTTTTTTAAAGTTCATCCTCTTATTTTTTTTTATCGGTCAACTAGAATGTATTTTGATTGATCAAATTAAATGGATCATATTTAAAAATTTTATATAATTTAATTTTAAATTTTTATATGATTTAATTTTAAATATAAATTAGACAAAGAATTAGATAAAAAAATTTCAAGATTAAATCTCCCTGTTGATTTAAAAAAATATTAAATAATTTTCTATGTTCTGAATAATTTTTGTAATATAGAAAAAAAATATCTAACCTAATATAAACTAATAATTATCTAGAACATAAACTAAAGAATTCAAATATCTTCAACAACAATAACAACCGGAATTTTCCCGGGGGAAAATATCAAATATGGGTCGGATATGGAAATGGGTATACGGGCTGAATACAGCAAAAATTGATGATATGTTGACCAGATTTATTGAGACAAGAAAAAGAAAAAGGGAGGGTGGGGTACGTGGGTTTCGTTTACCTTTCGTCAAGAAAGAGCTTTGACTCTTTCATAAAATCAAATCAACGAAGAAAAAACAAAAACAAAACCCTAAGAAAAAAAAAACAAAAAATATATATATATATACTTGTCAATCCCACCGTCCCTTATCGTGCGGCGCGTTCCACGTGATGAAATTCAATAAACCGATTAAATTGTTTTTTTAATATTTATTTATCAAGTAAGAGAGGAGCACGTCAACGAAATTGACGGCCAGGCTAGGTTACGACTGGAGAACGGACGGGACAGTTGCGCGGTCTCTAGATGGGTCCCTTTATTACATAAGCCCCCCACGTTTCAGATCTGCTCCCCGGTAACCATGTTGACTGTTAACTGGTGGGACCCGGTCACTTGCTATTTTTACACATCTGGATTTTGTAGTTGCCTGCCTTGCGCTAATAAACCCTTGAGGAGACTGCCCAAGTAACCACCATCTTACAGTGGAGAATTAGGTAATCTGTGGTCACGATTTAATTACAAAATAAAAAAGACTGAGAAAGTGGAGACATGTTTATATTTTTATTTTTAAATATATAAATTTATTTTTAAATTATCATAAAAATATATATTTATAATCTCTTCAATCAAATAAATCTTTATCTCACTACCTAAAATTAATAAACACTACTTTGGATTAAATTTAAATTTTTATTCATTTTGGAATCAATCGCTGAATTTTCCTAACCAATTGATTACTATATATATATATATATATATTAATG